TGTACCTTGGTTGCAGGCTTCTCCCAGGCCTGGGCCCTGGCAGAGGTTCTTGCAGGCGGCAACCAATCAATGTGTTTCTCTTACATCAATATTTCTCTTTGTCGTTCCCTCTCTCTTCTACTCTCCCTAAAAATCAATGGAAAAATAGCCTTGGGTGAGGATTAACCCTCCCCACCTCAAAAAAAAGAATGTCCCTTTTTTCTTTAAATACATGACCCATAAATTGCACACCATTGGGTTTATATACACATCCTTTGTCAGAACCTGGTCATGTGGCCACATATAACTGCAAGGGAGATTGGGAAATGTAGTCTTCAGTTGTGTGGCCATCTGCAGCTACAGAAGGGGAAGTCAGATCATTGCATGACTACTAAATATCTCTGCTACACTTCCCTTATCCCCAGATAATCTTTATCTCATTTCCTAAACAGGAAAAACTAATTTGACTCATTTATTCTTCTTACTCTACTAGCTATGGCAGAAATTGTATACCCTCAAATTACTCAGGGCTTTGACTAAATTTTCATGACTTTGCAAACCAAAAGCTTTGGCCTTCAGAACTCAGAAAGTAATTTCTTCCATTTCTGTCCTTTATAAGGTAAGGGAGGCCACTAACAAATGGGGAAAGGTAAGGTTCACTGACAAACACAGGAGATGCCTTCAGTGTTACAAATATTTTACAGCTACAACTACAACTTAGACACCTCCCATTCCTGCTAAGTCTTTTGGTGGCTTCCTTAGACTCTTAGTTTTGTCTTAAATTAAGACTCCTCAAAGAGGCATTCTCTGCTACCCTACTTTTTCCTTCATAACAGACATCACAATATTTAAGTGAATTCACATCCTAGAGCCTAGTGAGATTTAAAAAATCTTTGAGTCTTGTCCCAGGTGACTGAAAACAGTGTGGATGTGACCCTACTTACAATTAATGGTTCAAGACCCTAGAGGTCAAAGTATAGACTTGGGTGGGGCTTTTCCCAGTGGATGCCAATGTGGGGAGACATGCTGGAGGACCAGATGGGTGCTGCAGCTTGACAAATACCAGTCACAGACTCCTCTCCCTTCCCCCAACCAATACTAAGATGTCCCCACCATCCAGGACTAAAAACCCAGAAAAAAAGGGAGGAAGGGGAAAGCTTGACTCATTCAGTCATGTTCAAATCTGAAATGACTGGGTTGTTTTGTTTTGTTTTGTTTTTCTAGATTTGATTGAATTTTGCCTTTTCTGGCATCAGGAAAAATAGGAGCTCAGGAGAAGCAAAATTCAGTTATAAAAAATGGAATGTTACATTTCTTGCATATTTGAGTCATGGCTGATAGGTGTGTTTTGGCCATATTAGAATTCTGGAACCACATATGGGTTAACTTATGAAACCTTGTCATCACAGAGTTAATATATTCAGTCTAAGAATCATATAAGGTTAGAATCATAAACTCTATTCAGAAAGAACATTAGAGATTGTCTTAGTTTGGGTTCTCCTAAAAGTAGAGCCTGAGACCAGGATTTGGGTACTAGTAGCCCAGGAAGCCAGAGGAATCTGAGAGAGCGGGAAAAGGAAAGGGAGGAAAGGCAATAAAGGTAAGTTACCGAGCCAGTTCCAATATGCCAACCAGTGCCCTATCTTTTCTAAAAACTGATTGATTGATGAGAGAGAGAGAGATCAATTTGTTGTTCCACTCACAACTATGCATTCATTGGTTGATCCTTATCTGTGCCCTAACCAGGGATAGAACCCACAACCTTGGCATATCAGGATGATGTGCTAACCAACTGAACTACCTGGCCAGGACTTAGTGCCCTATCTCATTCAGACTCCCTAGCTACCAATGGATAAAAGGCTGAGAAACTTATCCACCAACTCCTATTCTCCAGGGATTAAGGTTTTCCCAGGGTGGATCCTGGTTGAGAGAGTTCTCAAGGTTTCAGAGAAGCCAAAAGACTGCCAGGCACTTGAAATGAGATGCTGTCTGTGTGCTGGAAGTATCCACAGTAGCTCCAGCTAAAGTTAGCAGTGGGTTGAGGGAATGAGGAGTGGGACCAATAACAAGCAATGATCCAGTTTTACCCCAAATAAGAATTCCCTTCTAAAGGTCTGGACTAGAAGTCTACAGGATGCATCAGTCTGTGTGGATTTATTTGGTTCCATTAGCATCTTGTTAAAATGAAATTGAAATCTAAAGGCCTTTAGGAGGCTCATGCAGTTTTCATTTTGTCCTAGGCCCCACCACTCCCTATTGCTCACATGCCTTCAGATTTCTGTTACCTGCCTGGCCCCCAGAAGCATTTGACTTTGAGGCCCCTGCACAGCACATCTCATCGGCTACAGGGTCCTTCAGATCTCTGTCTCACATCTGTATCTTCAGCTCCTGACACACAGCCTGGCCCATGATAAATGTTTCATAAATGTTTGCCAGAGAATGTAGCCTCTGCTTGCATTTTTCCCTGCCTGGGAGCTCACTCCTTTCAAAGCTGCCTGTTGTATTGTCTGCTACCTGCCCCCAACCCCTTACTGACCAGCCCCCAGGCATTCCCAGTAGGGACTGGGGGTGAAACTCCCTGCTTGGGGTGAGCAGCAGGTTAATTTCCTCCTGGAGCTTCCCTCAGCAAACAATGAGACAATGGCCAGCCGGAGGTGGCCTGCGTAAGACAGCGGAGAAGGGGAAGTTGTAATCTGTGCTTGAAGCCAGCAGGCGGCAAAGGGGCGAGAAAAGCAGCCTGAGCCAGACCGGGCCCTCCACCCAGCCAGCCCCTGGGACCTCGGCAGGGCCCCAACCTGAAGGTCACCTGAGTCGCCCTTGAGGAAAACAGCCACAAACCACCATCCTCGAGGAGAAAACACGGATGGGTGGGGCTCACCCTACTACCCCCTCCCTGTCCAAATGGTCCTATTTCCTCTTCACATAACCCCATCTGCCTACCTTCTGGGCCCTGCTGGCAGGGAGATATCCCCAGACAAGACAGACACCATCTGATGCTGTCTGGCCTTGGGGCATGTTACTTAACTTCCCTGCACTTTATCTGTAAACAGGGAATAATACCACCTCCTTCCTCTGCTTGTCAAGAAGATTGTCAAGCGGATTCTGTCCCTCCGTTTATGCGCATTTATTGAGCATCTGCTATGTGCAGGCGCTGGCTGTGTTGGATGGTGTGGATACAATGTCCCTGCCCTCGTGGAACACAGTTATAACATGGAGAGAGTCAATATCCAGGCAATTGCCCCAGGGCATGAAATCACACCAGTGACAGGTGTCACAGGAGAGCAGGCAGCACCATTATGGCCAGGCAACACTGGACCCTAGGCTGCAGATTGATGTGGGCTTCCTCTAGGAAGAGGCAGCTAAACTGAGTTAAACAGGGAGTGGAAGTTGACTAGGCCAAGGGGAAAGGGCCCAGGGAGGCAACGCAAAGGCCTGGATGTCGGAGCAAAGAGTGACACCATCCCACTGGCTTTCCGATAATGCATGGGGGTGCTCAGCACAGCGCCCAAGCCGGTGGGCTCCCACCTCAACAGAGGGGTCCTGTCTAAGCACCTCATGCACGACAAACCGCTGCTTCCCCAAACCTCCTCACACTGCAAGGGCTGAGACTTGCTGTACCCACCTCACAGATGAGGAAACTGAGGCTCAAGGCAGGGGAGAGAGAGAGGTGAGTGAGCACAGCAGATGGGTCCCAGCTTCCTCTGGGGAAGGGTCAGTGATTGGCAGGACATCCTGCCAATCACAGAGAAACTCAGGAGGACCCCCCTCCTCCCACACACACACATCTCAGGGTAGTTTCTTGCCCCCTTCCCATGCCCCAGGGGCTCCCTAAATCCAGCTCTGTACCCAGAAAGGGAAGAGGACTACAGATAACTGAGAGATATACCCATCCCAGGACATAACCTCACATGTCTAAAAGAGCTGAGCAGCCTCGCCCAAAGCCATACCCACACCCGGGCTCAAAACCAGCCTGTGGCTCTGCCACCAGCGCCTCCCCCAAGAGACTGGCTGCACGCCACGGAGTCTCCCAGAAAGAGCAGCTCCCACCATGGAGAGCGGTAGCTGTGCCCTTCCGGGTCCTTCCTCTTAGCTACCCAGTGCTCTGAGCCCCACCTTACTGAGGAGGAAACTGAGGGATGAAGAGGGAAGCCTCCTGCCCATGGTCCAAGAGCCATCAAGGAGCTGTGCCAGGTTCCAAGCTGATTGGCCTCACAGCTGGTGCTCCACATCCCCATCTCCTGCAGGACCCCCTGGTGGCTCACTTTACAGACCGCGTCACTGCACGCTCAGAGCCCTCTGTGGCTTCCCTCGAGTCAAGGTAAGTCCTTGCCTTGGCTCAGCCTCTCTCTGCTCATCTCCCACTCCGCACAGCCTTTCCTTCTCTCACTCGCTCCCACCTTGGAGCCTTCAGCACACACTGCTCCCTCTGCTTCATTCATGCCTCTGCTCACATAACCCCACAGGAGGCCCTCTGAGACCTTGCACCCCGCTTTGTATTTCCCCACAGGCCTCATCTCTGCCTGACCACCTAGGCAGCATTTATTTGTCTGCTGTTTGTCTGTGAGCCCAAGAAGGCAGCGTGGACTTGGTTTCTTGTTCACAGCTAAGCCCCAGTGCTTGCCCAACGGTAAGTGCTCAACAGGTATTTGTCACATGAATGAATGAAGAAAGGCCGAAAAGGTCTCCAGTCTCCCTCCAGCCCCAACTACATCCCAAACCTGCATCCTCAACTCCCCCCAAACACCCCACTTGCTGATACCAGCCTTTTGGGTTCCGGAAAAGCCCAAGCACAGCCAGCTCCTCACTGACTGGCCGGCCACCAGCCTTGGCAGGTCCTGATCACAGGCCCCTCTAAGGATGGAGGAAGCCAGAGCTCAGCGAGAACATGTGGCTTATCCAAGGTCACAGAGCCCCAAAGGTCACAGAGCCCCATCTCACTCCCCCATCACTACAGCGGGGGGGGGGGGGGGTGCCTCTGCTCAGAGGCCCAGTGGAATGGGAATATGGAGGCTCCAGCTCACCCACTTGCTCCAGAGAACCCAGTTATGTTGGGGGGCAGGGTGTCACTCTGCTGCCAGCAGCTCCCTCCTTGCAGCACTGGGACTCCAGCTCCACGTGTTCCAGGAAATCCAGGCCACATTTCCCTCCAGGAGCCACCGCCCAAAGGGACCCTCTGGGGAGAGACAGAGCATTTTTAAGGAAAAGGGGGGGAAAGGTGGGAGGTGTGGGAGAAAGAGTCACCAAAAAAAAATAATAATAAAATACTGTGGCTGGGCCAGGAATGTGCCTGGGTGAACCGGAGCCAAGCCTCCTGTCACATCCACAGCTGTGCCGGCCAGGGTGGGGTGCAGGGCGCAGGCGGGGCCGGGTCACTCTCAGGACAGGACACCAGCTGCCAACCTGCTCCTGGCAGGCAGGCTGGCTCCCTGCCTCCCGCCTGGGGGGTAATGGGAGGAGAGCTGGGCAAGCACCTGGGACAGAAGTCAGGGCTCCGGGCTCTGCTACCCCAGCCCATTCACCAGCCTGGACCTCAGTTTCCCCTTCTGTGCAATGACAAGATTTGGAGAAATGCTACAACAGGGTGACTTTTCAATAAGAGACCAGTTGAATAAAAGCAGGGACAGGGACAGCTACACTTTTTAGCAGGGTTTGACCTGGGGTCCCAAACTCAGGGACTCTGTGAACTTGGATAGAACAAATAACAACTTCATAGTCACCAGCCTCTAACTGAAATTCAGCATTTCCTTCAAGTAGGCATGTGGATCATGAGCCACAGCAGGGTTAGCAGTGGCCTTGTCACAACAGAAGCTGAAGGCGCTTTTGTATGATAACACAGTGGTTGCAGACACCTCCACAAATCATTGATGCTCCCCAAGACCCGGGCCCTGCATCCACACAGTCTATTTTATGTGCTATTAAAGGAACTCAGCTTTTACTGCATCACTAACCCTTGTTCCTATTGCAGTAATAGCATTTCAATATAGTGGGTTTCCTAAAATATAATCATGCACTTTATGTGCTTAAAAAAAGGAATATGAGAAGGGGGTCCAACCTGTCACCAGATGTCAAAGGGGTGTACGACACAAAAAGCTAAAAATCCCCTCTTTATATGCAGCCATTTTTATTTTTAAATGGGGAAGTTCTCTGTATACTGACTTGGAACAATGTCAAAACACAGTGCTAAGAGCAGTCAGAAAAGCAGGATACACCAGTGTCTGTGTAAGAACCAGGCGGGTGCCTACGTTCGCCTGATGCAGGGAGCCCTAAACCATAACAGTGGTCATCCCCAGGGCCTGAGCGCCCTCAATCCCTGCAGCTCTGCCTTTCTTCCATGTACGTATATATTCAGGAAGAGTCGAGATTCTGGAAGGTGGCTGTGCCTGAGGGGAAACAGGTTTTGAATCTTCCCAAATCCCCACATCCAAACAGACAAAGCAACTAGGTTGCAAACCAAAACCAATGGACAAGATTTAGGACAAAACTAGGTGACAAGGTGTCCCCACAAATCCCAAAATCCATGTGGGTGGAGACAAATCTGCACATTAAGGTTTGTGTGGGAGAACACTCCCACCATGAGTATTTATTTGTTTGGGGGACACACGAAATAATAATGAAGTCTCAGTCTCTGCCCCAGGATCCAGGAGTAGTGGGGAACACAGACAATCACAGAAACATGTGAGAAGAGTAATTCTAAGAGTCTGAGACTCTGAACATGTATAAAGGAACCCATGTTTGAAATATTTCATTGCTAAAAAAAAAGAAAAAGAACAAAGGAAGAAAGAAGGTGAGAAAGAGGCCGGTAGACACACAGACATGCTGGTAACTCCTCTGCAGGCCCAGACCAGTGGCATCTTAGGGCAGCTGTTCACACACACAGGCTCCAGGGGAGCTGCCCAGCCCCCAGTTCAGAACTCAATGCCCACTACCCAGCATCTTCCTTTCTGATGAATCATGTGTTTGTGGACTAAAAGGCAGGGTTATCCCAGCCAGGAAGTCCTTAGAGTCATCAGCATGGAGGCAGCCCCTTAAAGCGGAAAAAACAGCCCTCAGAGGCTCCAAACACAGGTTCGAGTCCCAGGCCGGCCACATAATTCACAGCATGATCTCACACTGGTCTCAGAGGCGCAGAGAGAAGGCAGCTGCCAGGGCTCACCCATAAACCTGCAGACGCTTCTGGACGCCCAGGTGGAGGAAATCGGAAGCCCCTGGCAGCCACTAAAGGTAGGGGTGAGGATGAAGCCAGGTCTGTGCCCTCTCTCCTCGGGTTCTCCAAATACTCAGGCAGCACCACCCTCCGGGCAGGACAAGAACAGTGCACTCAGGACCCAGCCACACTCCTGTTCACTCTAGAGCAGGGGTGGGCAAACTTTTTGACTCGAGGGCCACAATGGGTTCTTAAACTGGACCGGAGGGCCGGAACAAAAGCATGGATGGAGTGTTTGTGTGAACTAATATAAATTCAAAGTAAACATCATTACATAAAAGGGTACGGTCTTTTTTTTTTTAGTTTTATTCATTTCAAATGTGCCGGATCCGGCCCGCAGGCCGTAGTTTGCCCACGGCTGCTCTAGAGCAACCCCAGCAGGAGGTATCCTTATCCCCGTTTTACAGATGAGGAAACTGAGGCTTAGAGAGGGGAGGAAGGCCCCAATGTGCTCTGACCTGGGTCTCTTGTGGGGGCCCTCACCCCTGGGACAGCTCTGTGCTGGCAATCTTGACCTCCACCAAGCCTGGAGGCCCACTCAGGGGTGTGGCTGTCTCCCTGTGAGCAGGGCTATTTTTAGTGTCGGCAGCAGGGGCTAAGGGCCAAAGCCAGGAGTGACAATGGGGGGAAGGGGGTGGGGCTGCTGGCGGCCGCCCCCGCACCCAAACAGCCGCCCCATTTCCTCGAGGAACCAGGCCATGCACAATACAAGGAAAGCCGAATGGGGAGCGGCTGGGGGCTCCTGGGGGGAGGGGGGGCTGACCTGGCCCATCAGGGCAGCTGGGGGCCAGGAGGGGGACTCCAGACCAGGGGGAAATGGACCATTAGTCCAGCTGCCTGGTCCCGACAGAAGTGATCGTTCATGCTCCACTCACTCCCATACACACACACTCACATTCATTCTCTTTCACACATATACACACTTTCTTAATCTCTCACTCATTCTCTCATACAATAATCATACTCATTCTCACACACTCATTCACCGACACTGACGTATTCACACTCATTCTCTCTCACACTCATTCTCACACACTCATCTCTCACATATATTCTCTCTCCTCTCTCTCTCTCTCTCTCTCTCTCTCTCTCTCTCTCTCACACACACACACACACACACACACACACACACACACACACACGAGTTTTTTATTAATTCCTAGGCCAGGGCAGGGTCTAATCCAGCCTAGAGGCTGAGAACTGGGCCCCGGGGACTCAATGAAATGAGATTCCCAAGCAGGAACTGATTTGGGGACCAGATGAGAAATGTTGTCATGAGCACCCCAGACATTTTACCAGGGTCCTGGCCTCTTTGGGGAGGGACGTCCTTGCTGGGGAGGTTTCAAGCCTGGGGCTGGGGCTCTCAGACAAGCGAGTGCTAGGTGACAGGAACAGGAAGGTGGTCCCCCATAGCCTGGTAGCAAGGGCTCCTTCCTTGCTCCTCTACAAGGGGAATTCCAGCTTTGCCTGGGCAAGAGCCCTGAACTGAACTTGACATCTGAGGTTCCCCTATGTTCTCCCATGGCTTAGGGTAGGAGATGGCTTCTCCGTCTTCCCCATCCCTGCTCTGCCAGCCACCGCAGACTGAACTCTGGCTAATGCCTCCTCTCCATCCCACCTCTACACCCTTTTGTGTGCCATGCCCTATGCCAGGGGTACCCTCCTCTGTCTCCTGTTCTCCCACCACCATTAAAGCTCTGAGAACAAGAACAGTCATATTCTTGTTTGCCATCACATCCCCAAAACCAAGCAAGTGCCTGACACATAGTAGATGCTCAATAAATACCTATGGCATGAAATCCTTGCCTCTTCCTGGAGGCCTCTTCTCCTCTCTAAACCATGGACAAAATTATCTCATTGGGCCTTCTCAACTGCCCGGTGAGGCAGACATATTCGTTCCCATTTGAGGGAGGAGGAAACTGAGACTGGAGAGGGAATGTGGCTGGCTGAGGATCACACAATGGGTAGCAGCCTAGGCAGGACTTATATCCTCAAACGCCCATACCCACCCCTGGCCGTCATCAGCTCTGGGAGTGAGTCCACAGAGGAGAGAAGATGGCAGAGCTTTACTAAAAGAGTAATCAAGGCTGGCAAGAGTGAGGTTTGTTTGTTTTGGGGTGGTCCACCCCAAGAGTGAGAGCTTCTTCTGCCCACCCCGCCCCCCCAGGACCCACTCAGAGCTGGGCTCTCCTTCGCATGGGTGGAGCTGCACCCAAGGATCAGGAAGGAAAGGTAGAGGATTTCTGGACACGTACTGAAGGCAGACTCTGCACCACATAAAAAATTACCCATTGGAGGTGTTTAAGCAATATTTGGGGAATACTCCTAGGCAATAAAAAGAAGCAAACTACTGATACAACAACATGGGTGAATCTCGGAGACATTAAGACTAATGAAAAGCCAGGCACAAAACAGTACATGCTGTCTGATTCCATTTATATGAAATTCTAGGAGGCAAAACCAAGTGATATCAAATGAATGGTGGCCTGGGCCCAGGAGATGGGTTGGTGGGTGAGGGGCACAGGTATTTGGGAGTGATGGAAATGATCTGTGTCCTGATTGGGTGGTGGTTACACAGGGTGTACATTTGTCAAAACCCATGGAAAGAGACACACTTAAGATGGATAACCTTAAGTACCTTTGATGTTATGTTAATAACATCCTGATACAATTGTTTTTAAAAATTAGCACCATGCTCTCAACTTTAAGAATCTATCATCACTTACCAGTTAGACTGTGTTCTCTCTGGTAATGGAGGGTGCCTCCTTCTGGATGGTTCGTAAGTCCCAACACGTGAGGTTGCATTTAGGCACCTGCCAAACTTATTTCCAGGAGCAGAATGCTGCAAAGCAAACGCAGGCTGCTGTTTACTGAGCACATACTGTTCATGGGTAACTCACTTCCCCCAGCACCCAATGAAGTGGGTGCTCATATTATCTCCCCTTCACAGAAAAGAAGAAAGGTGGAGGGAGAGGGGTCTTGCTCAAGATCACACAGCTGGCAGGTGGGAGAAAGGGGATTTGAACTCAGCCTGCCTCCAGGGGGTCACTGTTCCACCTTCCAGATGGCTCCCTCTTTTCTGGCCTCAAATGCCCCCCACCCCTTCCATAAACAAAATCCCAGCAGGGGCGCAGGCATGCCCTCCTTACCTGGGAACGCAGGAACTGTAGCCAGCTTATTCCACTTCCCGGCTCTGTGACCTGGGACAAGTGCCTCTACCTGCCGTGTTCATCTGTAAAATAAGGGGAAAACACTACTTACCTTTAATAGGTACGAGGTTTTCTTTTGGTGATAAAGTGTTTTGAAACCAGACAGAGGTGGTGGTTGTACATCGTGAATGCACTAAATGCCACTGAATTGTCAACTTTAAATGGTTAATTTATGTTATTAAATTTTGACTCAATAAAAAAGAAAAAAGGGGAAAAGAGATCATCTGTGTAGATATCAATGGACAAGTACATTAAGAAAAAAACTACCTACCTTAAAAGTTATAGTGAGGATTCAAAGAACAGCAAATCTCAAGCACTTAGAATAATGCCAGACTAGCAGTAAGCATGCAAGATTTTCTTTCATATTTAGTGGCCCCAATTGTCGGCCAAGCTGCCATGCTGGATGACCAGCAGCTGCACAAGCCCCCGGCGCTCCCTGCCTCAGCCCATGTTCTCCCGTCTGCCCTCCATCTCCCATCACTCACTTCACTCACTTGTGCCCATCCACACTGGCCTCTTGCCCTCCCCCTTGCTGGGCAGGCTCCTGCTACAGGGCCTTTGCACTGGCTATTTCCTCGGCCTGGAACACTCTTCTCCAGACTCACACAGCTGCGTCCTCACTTCCTTCAGCTCTTTGCTGAAATGTCAGCTCTTCAGAAAGGTCCTCCTTGACCACCCTCAGGAAACAGCTCTGCTCCAGCCACTCACCATCCCCTCAGTGGCTTTACAGTCTCATGTGAGATTGTACACTGGTTTGTTCATTGTGTTTTGTTCATCTCCCCGTGAGATTGGCAGCTCCTTGAAGAGGGACGTTGTTTCCTGCTGGGAGCCCAGCCTGGCACATGGTGAGCCCTCCATAGATAGTTGTGGAAGGAAGGAAGGAGGAAGGAAGGAAGGAAGGAAGGAAGGAAGGAAGGAAGGAAGGAAGGAAGGAAGGCAGGCTCCAGATAGTGTCCATCTGGTCATTCAGCTGGGCTCAAATGTGTGAGTCACCAAGGACAGGGACCCTGGGCTTGCCTCAGTGGCCTCAGGATTGCTTAGCACGTGGGGCATCTGTTGAGAAAAAAAGACCTCTACTCCGTTCAGGGTCCTGCCACCTGTAAGAGACTGGCCTGCCCCCACACCACCCCTAGCCCTGTCCCAATTTTATTTCCTCCCCTTACAGCTGTTCCTTCCATTCCTCCTCATCTGGTCCCTAGAACATCTCCTTGGGCCTTTGTCTTTCCCCTCAGCTGCTTAGGGGGAAGTTAGATACCTTCCTTCATCCTCTCCCTCCCCACCCTTCTGGCCTGGGTCCAGAAAGCCTCCCCCTCAGGCTCAGCACCCACTCCAGCCACTCCCCTCACCTCCAGCAATTTCCAGGGAGCAGATGTGGAGAACAGTGGAGAGGCAGGTGTGGTCAGAGGAGCCTCAGGTCCCTCCCCAGGTCAGTTTGCTGTGTGACCCATCTCTCCACTCAGAGATCAGCTGGGGAACTAGGCTATTTGTGCTCCAAATCCAGCTCTACCACTTGCTAGCTGTGCAGCCTTAGGCAAGTCACTCAACCTCTCTGTGCCTCAGAATTTGTCTCAGCACAAGGGTGCAATGCAATAATGCAGAAGGTCTTTGTAAACTGCAAAGCCCTAAACCACCCTTGGCTATGTATTTGTGCTATTTCTGACCCAAGGAGCCCAGAACTGAAGGACAACCTCCCAGTGGCCCTAAGCTATCGCAGATGTTATTTGCCATCATCCTTATTACGTGATCGATAACATCCTCAGGTTTCACAAAGGCCACAGTCAAGAGTCCATTAACTTTAAGACAAGGGTAAAGTCCCAGAGAACACTCTAGAACAGCACACTTCCAGCGAAACCCACCGTCCCGCAGGGGCCTCACAATAATCCCAAACAGGGAAGAGTCATTACTATTCCATTTTACAGATATGGAAGCTCAGGCTGCCTCCCCTAAGCCCAAGCTTTATTGTTGTTCCTGCCTGACAGACTGGAGTCCTTGTCCAGCCCCCATACCTGTACCTACCCTACCGCCCTGCGGACTCCTTTGAGCTCCCCCCACTCCTGTTTAGCAATACCTCTCCCCGGTTTTCCTAGGCACTTGCCTATTCTCCCAGAATCCTTCTGATCCCAGCCAGCCTGGCAGTGGCCAATGCCAGATCAACCTCACTTTTCCTCCAGATTCCAAACAAGATCAACTGCATTTCCCCTCCTGATTCCAAAACGAGGCAGGCTGGCAGCACTGAGCACTACTGGGGAAGGGGGCCGGGCAGGCCTAGATTTGTTTGTAAGCATTAGCAACAGCTACTACATCGGATAGGTTCTTATTCCTATCTTAAAATGCAGCGCAGAGGAATTAGGTGAGCAACTTGCCCGAGGTCACATAGCTAGGGAGAGTGAGAGCCAGAGTTGAAACTCAGGTCTATTTGACTCCAAAATGCTTGACATCAGCCTTTGAAGAGTTCACTGACATTGGGTGACTTCATTTCCAGCTCTTCCCCTAAGACTCCTCATCTCTAACATTGAAAGAGTAATACTTTATTGGATTTGTTGAGTTGTGAGAATTAACTTGGATGAGTTTGTAAAGTGCCCAGAATAGCACAGGGCACCTGGATGTGGCTGGGGCTCTGTGGTCAGGCCAACCAAGGGTTAAGGCCCAGCTTCTGCCTGTGGAGACAATTACTCTACCTCTCTGAGCTTCACTAGACCCATGTGGACAACAGACACCATCAGCCCCTCTCTCAAAGATGGTGCTGGTCCCAAAAGCTAATTTTCTGAAAGTTAGAAACATGGCTCTCATACCAATAAGAAGTGAGCACATGCCAAAATCATATGTGATTCATTGGTTATTACCCCGTCAGCAGTGAAGCTGCTCCTAAAAGTGTTAGAGAGTCTGAAAGGTTTATAGCTAACGGAAGACAAAATGCTGAAACAGGATTGCAAAGTGAAACTGGTTAATGTCCTGCAGGACCAAACAAATGTAACCTTTGGGGTGATCTTTTCTACTGGAGACAAATGATTTGCAACTTAAATCTACAAGTGAGCCCATAACTTTCCTGAGTTTGGGCCCCAATACGTAAGGAAATGACAAGTCAAACAAATATCTGTCCCCCTAGAGAGTTAGTTAACTAACCCTGGAGTGGGGCTGTTGGACAATGCTACTCAAAGAACATGCAGTTCTCCTTTTGTTTTATTTCCAAGTTTGGGATTTTTTTTAAACCTGAGAATGCAATGCAATCATGGAAGTGGAAGAACTTTAAAGTGCTGAATGCCTCTTGGCTTGTTATTTGGGTAGCATCTCTGCCCAACAACCCAGAACTCTGAGCAGCAATCCCTATGCTCACCAAATGAGGTGGACAGGGAGCTAGGAACACTCAAAATAATGCAAAACAAATAAACAAACAAACAAAAAGAATGCAAAACTATTTGCAAGCATGGTCTTATTCATCTTGATTTCCTTCCAGAGCACTCTGAGCTCAGGCCTGGGACTAGGATGAGGTGATGCCTCACATCACACAATCCATAAGTCTCCTTTCCACGGAGTCCCTGCTCACCTACTGACATTAGTTAATAAAATTTTATAGGTTTCAGGTGTACAATTCCATAATCCATCATCTGTGTACTGTATTGTGTTCACCATCTCAAGTCAAGTCTCCTTCCATCTCTATTTATTCCCCCTTTACCCTCCTTTTTTTTTAAACAATTTTTTAAATTGATTTCAGAGAGGAAGGGAGAGGGAGAGAGAGAAACATCAATGATGAGAGAAAATCATTGATCGGCTGCCTCCTGCACGCCCCCTACTGGGGATGGAGCCCCAAACCCAGGAATGTGCACTGACCGAGAATTGAACCAGGACCTCCTGATTCATAGGTCAATGCTAAACCAGAGCCGGTGGGCCCCCCTATACCCTCTTCTACTTCCCCCACCCCCTTTTCCCTCTGGCAATTACCATATTGTTGTCTGTGTCAATGAGGTTTTTTGTTTGTTTGCTTAACCCCTTCATCTTTTTTTGTCATTTATTCAACCATTATTTTCTGGGTGTCTACCTGCTGCCAAGCACTGTCCTGGGCATTTGGGGTAAAGCACAAAACAAGACAGACATAGTCACTGCCTTCAAGGGCCTAAAGTCTAAACAGGAGACAGATGATTGGTTAACTAAGATAGAGGCTAAATAATCAAAAATCACCACAAGCTCTAAGAAGGAAAAGAACAGGATGAACATGAGCAGGGCTGCCAGCCCCAGAGAGGGGCCGGAGAAGACTCCCTAAAGAGGTGACATTCAAGCTGAGACGTGAGGAATGAGAGAATGCCAGCCAATGGAAAAGCTGGGGGAAAGGCATGCCAGGTGGGAGGTCCAGCATGTGCAAAGGTCCTGATGCAAGATGAGGCTTCAAGGAACGTTGTGGCCATAGTTTGGCAACTGGCAGGAGATGAGTTGAGGGAAGAAAGCAGGACCTGAATCATGGTGGGGATGGGGGGAAGGGGTCTGCAAGAGACCTAGATGTAATTCTAAATATGATGGGAAGATATGGAGCATTTTGGTCAGACACCGTTATAACCCAACTGTGTTTCTACCGTGGGGTCTTTTACAGTGGGGTCCCTGCACCAGCAGCATCAACATCACCTGGAACTTGTTGGTAATGCAGATTCTTGGGCCCCACCCCAGAACTACAGATCAGACCTTCTGAAGGTGGAGTCCATCCACTGGTGTTTTAACAAGCCCTCTCGATGATCTGATGATGTTTGGAAACCACCACTCTGGAATCAATAATCCACCAGTTAGTAACACAACCTAGAGTCGTCACCTGGTGGCACTTTATGGGAACTACAGCCTGACTGCTGCTTCCACCACCAGCCCTTTTTGACACTTCCCACTGAAAGGACCCAGACCAGGGTCATGGACAGAAGGATGGCTTTAGAGCAGTGATGGCGAACCTATGACACGCGTGTCAGAGGTGACACGCGAACTCATTTTTTTGGTTGATTTTTCTTTGTTAAATGGCATTTAAATATATAAAATAAATATCAAAAGT